AGAAAAGATTCCCTGAAAACACAATTCCTATTATTTCTATCCCCTTAAACAGTATCAACCTCTTTAAATAATAACAACAGTACAAAAAAAGTTTAAAATACCAACAAATTACCTGAGTCACAAAAAATGGAATGCTGGATCATCTAAAATGTGGCCCCATTTTGTCTGTTCTGTGCTGAATGCAATCACACCTTCCAGGATGGAAGATTTCCCATCAGTGGGAATACTGCCCCTGATGAAGAATGGCTGTTCAATAAGCAGGGCAGAATATATAGGATCAGCAAATACTTTCAAGGTGACTTTTTTCTGCACAGGAAAGCTATCCAGAGGCTTGGAATCTCCTGCTCATAATGAGATAACAAAAGGAATGTGCTGGGCATTAGGCTCACTGATAAACCATCAGGAGAAATCCCGTTCACCAGAAAACTCCTGAATCCTAAAGCATTCCATGAAGAGATGCATCTGGAGTGGACAGCAGCTGCATTACCTTGGAGCAATCTTCATCCCTGATGGCTGATTTTAAAGTACGTATAATTTTCATAAGTTCAATACAAGCTATTTGAGCCTTTTTAATAAATAACTCAGGCTAAAGGCAATTCCCCAAACACTGTGGAATTAATGATTTATCAATCTGAGAAATAGAAACACTGAACAGAGACAGCTGCATTATTCTGGCTTCACAACACACAAAACGTTTTCAAAATTTGAAATGTGCATCCAAGGTCACTCTGCTGTGGAGTGTGAGGGGGGAAATGTGATTCAGTCTTGCATCTCCAAATCCCATCCCTTCAACAATTAACATCAATCCTTGATGAACATGCAAGCCCCTGTGACAGTTCCTGTGTTTACACACAGTGAATACACAATCCCACAGCTACAGAAGGCAGAAATACCTCGGAGCACCAATGAAATCAGGCAGGTCTGGCTCTGAAAACCCCACTGCTGAGACTTTTTAAAGGCATTCCACCACCCAGGGAATAAACACACTGAAAACAGAGGTTCCTGTATTATGGCAACTGGGCAGCCCAACACACAAACCCAACACACAGCCCCACTGCTGCTGCTCTCAGCTCTGGCACCACAGCCTTGCCTTCCCAAGCCTTTGGCACCCCAAACGTGGCAGCCTCAGAAGCTGAGCAGTTCTTGGGATGTGAATAGGAATGGGAGTGATGGAGGGACTGTAAAACCCAGCAGTGCAAGCCTTTGGATCAGGGGAGAGAAAGGCTGGAAGCAGATAAATAAGCATTGACAAAAGAATTGCTTTTGAGGCACTGAGGGCACTGAGGGCACTGACCTGAGCAGGCTCTTCAGAAATGCCTTTTCTGCACAATTAAAGGTGTTCCAAACTCTCCAAAACACGCTTCCTATAGCACTAATTAAAGATGCAGCTACCTCTGCCTCCTAGAAATATTTAAAGCTTTTTTGGTTTACATTCCAGTGTGTGGAGGGCGCCCCTGCAGCACGCCAGTTGTTTTATTTAGATGTTACAAAATATTCAAGAATTCTGAACATAACTTCCAAAATAGGTGAAAACACAGCCTTTTACATAATGACCCTTAGATACAAGCCCATGCTGCTGGATCTGGGGTCATCAGCAATATGGGAGTCACACATCCCTTGGGAAATGCTGTCTTAGATCATGTAGATGTGAAAAACTGGTCACACCCATGAAATGGAAGTCTGAAATATTTCACTACTAAATGACTCCATTTATGAAGATGAAACTTTTTTTCAAAGTAGGCTTTGGCAATAAATAAGCCATTCTGATTTAAGTGATAATTTTGTAGCATGAATATACTGAGACCAGCCTGGATCTCAGTGACTGTGACACTCATTGCTGTCATCTCTGTCATCTCATTACACACAAATATTTCTTGTTCATTCTCACTTTTCCTTTCTCAAATATTTTATATTTTTCTTTTCAGATAATTAAAATGATTTATCCTTTTGCATTTGCCACTTCTCTTCATAAAATTTTTATTTAACTTACTTTTTACAAACTTATTTCAAAGGACAGCTAAAGTTTCACTCTGAACTTTGCAAATTGCAACCATTTACTGCACAATGTACATTAAATGTAAAGCTGTTTGGAAACAGAATTCTTACATCTGACACACACATTCCAAGGATAAGCGTCACCAGAAGTTTGAACTTTGTTCAGATGTTTGCTTTAAAAGATTTCAGCAGCCACACAATTTTATTTAACTCTAAACATTCGCTCTGTTCCCAATTATCTCCTCTGCTGTCATCTCCCATCAGGCTGCCACTAAAACAATCACTTATCTCTCATACAATTATTCTGCCTTTTCCTCTGGTCAATGCAGATGACTTTTCCCCAGCTGCAGTCCTGAACTTATCCTTAAGTTACAATCCAAATTTTAGAGTGTTTTGAGTATCAGAATTTCCTTTTGAACCTCATGTGCTACCCTTTAAACTGCCTACAATAACCAGAATGTGCAGGTTTTGTTGATGCAGATGAACTCCAAGCACTTAGAGGATTATCAATACTCAGACAAACAGTCCAGCTTCCCAGTCACATCACTGAAGTTTCTGTGGGAAATGACCTCAGGTGCTTTATTCTTGGCTCACCAAGGAAAAGGAGCCACACAAATGCACCAGGTTTGACTCAGCCAGCCCCAAAAGGCAGCAAACGCTGTCAGAGGTGCCCCATGGTGCCTGGTGTGTGACATGGGACACAGTGGAGACTCACAGCCCTCTGAAACAGTGACAAAGGCCAGGAGAGGAACCCTGAGGCATCTCCAATAACACCAAACATCTCTTTGGGGAAACCAAACCCAGCCCAACCCACTGGCCAGGACACTGCTCCATTCAGCCTCCTCCTGCACTTCTCCCCTCCAAACCCAAACCCATCAGGTGACAGCAGCACAGGACACCATATAAATATCCCAGTGATCATCCCATGGAGCTTGTCAAAAACAATACAAATGTACTTAGCATGATCAGGAAACAGACAACTGAATGGTTAAAAGGTATGGTTGGGATACTGTTGCAGCAGAGATGGCCACAATAAACAGAGTAGCCCCAGACAATTTCAGAAAGCTTCAAGCCGTGCACAGTAACACCAGACCACTTCAGAAGGCTGCAAGCATCTGCTCCTCTTGTTCTTCAGCCCAACCTTTCATACCTCTCACATTGATGCATTGCTCCTGTGTGCCCTCTGCTCCCTTTGGAGGTTGGTCAGTGCCCCTGGGCACTCCATGGCTCATTGCTGTCAGTGCTGCTCACAGCTGTGCCCACTGGGGACAAGACTGGGCACAGCCCCACTCCAATCACCCCAAACTGTGTGCCTACAGGACAGAGGGATGTGCCAGACATTTGGCTCAATATGACACTCAATAGCCTGGGTAAGCAAGAGGCTGTGGTCCTGGATTTACAGCATGTGAGCAAAGGACAGGGCTGGTAATGGTATCAAATAGGAATTCAAGGTAGCAGAATACTCTGCATTCATTCCATTAAGTGTTAAAGTGACTATGTTAATATTGGCACTAAACTGAACATTTCATCCATATTCTTTCGCTTTGGGAAGAGCTTGCAGCAATGTTCACTTTGCAAACGGAGCTTAACGTCAGATGAAGTCATTGCAGAGAATACTGAGCTGGTTTCTTAGCGAGATACCACAGACAAACCACTTCTCCACAATGAAAATGCTGAATCCCGTTTGAGTCAGCATATGAAAATTGGTCACGTGTAGGTGAGGGGACAGGATCAGACACCAAGTGCTGCTGAGAACATGACAGTGTGCGTGCAGAGCCACTCAAAGGACTGCTTACGTAATCAGGGCTCGCAGTGTCTACCAGCCACACACAGTATTCCTTAAAAGATTCCCTTTTACTCTTTGGGAGTTGAGTTACAGCACTATCAACTTTCACACTGTTTAAAAACTTACATTTTAGCTTATTTTGGGAGCAGTTTAAGTCCTACTCTACATTGCTTTCAGCTTGCCTATCTTCCCAGCACCTTATCTTGGTACCCATGCTTCTCAAATAGCACTTTACTACAAAATACGCTTTAATTAAAAAGAAAGTAAAGAAAGTATTAGCACAGAATCGGGTTGGTGTAATGCGATAAAACTGCACAATAAGATGGAAAAAAAAAACCACAAGCAAAAGAATCAGCAAGAAATACACAGAAAGAAATGAACTTTTGGACAGTTTAATTCAGCAAACGAGAGGTTTCCTCCGCCTACAATACAGGAGGCCTTTCAAAGATGCAGAAGGGAAGACAGTGCCCCTCCTTTCACGTTTCTAGTGCAGTCTCCGAACCAAGATTTCAGCAGAAGAACCCGTTCTGTCCGGTGACGGTAGGAAAGCACATCTTGACGGCATCCATGCCAAGGTGGTGGCGGCCGGCACTACAGCGGCACCGCAGCGGGCATCCCGGGCTGGTGCACTGCGTGACCCGCAAAGTTACCTCCCGCCGCATTCTGCTCGGGCTTTCAGCCGCTCCAAACCGGACTACTGCGAGGCTTTGCAAACTACCGCTTGTAAAACACCGTGGAAAAGAAGGAAAAAAACCCCAAAAAGCCCCAGCCCGGCCGCAGCAGCACCGCAGGAGCTGGGCGAGCGCCGGGGACACGGCGGCGCTCCCGGGAGGGCTTCTCCTTCCATCAGCCCCGCCGAGGGAGCGGGGCTGCGGGCAGCCACCTCCTTGTGGCTGTCTCAAATGAACATTTCTCGGAGGAGCGGCGTTCCCTCCTTGTGGCTGTCTCAAATGAACATTTCTCGGAGGAGCGAGAAATGCCGGGGCAGAGCGCGGCCGCCGCCGCCTCCCGACCCGTTCCCGTCTCTGCGAGCCCTCCGGGCTGGAGCCGCACTGACACCAGGGGCTTCCCGCAGCCGCCCCGCGGAGCCGCCTCCATCCCCCGCCCCAGCGCATCCTCCGGCCGCATCCCGCTGCCCCCGGGACGGGCTCGGCCCCGGCAGCGCTCCCGCCCCCCTCAAGGTCACCGCGGCCCCGGGGGTCGCCGCTGCCGCTCCTACCTGAGCCGGCGAGCGGAGCGGAGCCGCCGCTGTCCCCGCACCGGGGCCTCGGGCCGCGCTCGGCGCCTCCTCCTGCGCCGGGGCCGCTGCGCTGCGCCGGGAGGCGGCGGCTCCGTCAGACTTAGCGGGGAAGCCCCGGGGGGGCGGGCAGCGCCTCTCCCCACCCCGCGAGGTGCCGGAGCCGAGCCCAGGCTCCCCCGGCGGGGCTGGGGCTCCCCTCAGCGGGGAGAGGCTGCGCCGCGCCCCGCTCGGCTCCGCGCGGCTCCCGCGGGATGCCGGGCGCGGCCGGCACCGCGCGGGGGCTCCGGGCGCCTCGGCCAGACGGGGACCGGCCGCGCCTGTTCGGCACCGGGCGTTTAACACCACCACCGTCCTTGTGCTTTTGTTTTTCCTCAACGCGCGGCGGTTTTCTGACAGAATTCCGCAGAAATCTCAAGGGGACCTGAGATTTTTACAGAGTCTCCTGGCACGGATTCTGAGAGCTGGAGAGTCCCGCCACCCTGGGGGACAGCACCTGGGGAAGTACAAAAAATGGAATTATGATGTACGGGTGATGTGCATTACATAGACTGAGCATCAGCACTCCAGATTTAGAAAATTAGTAATAAAACCCCACCCCGTGTCTTAGATTTGAAGATACTACTTTTGTTCGCAAAGAGGATGGCATATTTGAAATGTTGCCAGAGTAGTAATGCCGGGTGTTTAACCAACACGTTCTGGTTTTACACATGGGCTTGAGTTAGATTTCATAACAGTTCTCTTGTGCCACCTAATCTGTTCACCCTGGGAGTTAAAACCAGTTACCAAATGTCCCCGAAGCTGAACGGACACAGAGGGGATTTTGAAGAGCAGAAAAGTGTATTTGGTATGTGGGGTGGGGGCCGTGTGTGTGAGGGATGCACACACATCCCACAGCACCTGCAGACTGCTACAGCAAACAACACCAGCGTTTTACTTGGAAAACTGGAAGTATTCCACCACTTTCTATTGGTGAATAGCAGCACTGCCCAGCCCTGGCTGTTTGACAGACGATACACTGTTAATTATATTCTGATTACTATCTTGGCTTCTTCCTTAACACCATTTAAATTCCAGTTTTAACCTTATCTCAGCAAGGACTAAAGGAAAAAGTAGGACAGGCAACATGAAAGCACAAATCCCTCTGCATCTTTTAAAACTCTTTCTAACTTACTGAAAGCCAGGAGAAGATGTTACGGTGTATTTGTAGAGCTTTCAGACAAGCTTGTTAACAAAATCCAGACTTGCAGGTCTCACCAAGTTCAGTTTCCAGATTTGGAAGAAAATCAGAAACCTGTAAGTTTTCTGCAAATATCTGGATTGGTTTTCTCATCTGATCTTAAACCACATGTCTACTGTCAAGTGAGAGTGAACAAGGGTGCTTTCCCCTGTTACATTTCCCTGGGTCATGAGGAAGATCAAACCAACTGAGGAAAACTAATCAAGAACAGCAGCATTTTTTTGTTTTGACAATGCTTAGAAAGATGGCAGAGAAAGCCTGAATGAAAAGTTTACAAAAATAATCCTGCAAACATGAGGTAAATGCGGTGCTATTTTCAGCTCGTGCTTATTAATCATTTAAAGCAGATGATTGGAGTGCCATTTGAAGAGCATTAGATGTGCATCCTTACTAGCTGCCTGCAAACGCATTTCACTGGTAATTCTGTGCTGCACAAAAAACATTACATCCCCAGACTGTTTTCACAGAAACACAGAATTCCACACCTGTTAAATACCCAGGCTGACAGTGCAGAGCTCAGGGTTTGAATCTCACACAGAAGGACAGTGTCCATCATGTGATTCTCACATCAGAGCATCCTCAGAGGGTCAGCCACTGCAGCTGGAATTAATAACACCAGAGCAGCACAAACAAATGATTGCTTTCCTGGCTTCCTCTCCATCTTGAGATGTTTAGCCCCTACAGCTGATTTTGTCAATCATGGTGAAATAGCAGAAGTGTCTGGCTGTTTATCACTTGTGATAAGCAATGAATGACAGAGCAGATTTCTTCAGTTTAAGATCTCCTGCCTATGAAAATCTCTCCCCATGCAGACAGTGAAGTAGAATTTTGTACATTTTTGCCAACTTTAGAAGCTGTCCCCATGTTTTTGTAGAGTACATGACAGGGGTCTCAGCACATCTTTTCTGTTACTACAGCATTTCTAGGAACTCAACCTCTTGCATACAGGTTTTTAAAACGCTTAAAGTGTGATGTTAACAGTAACAACATCAACTAATGACTACATTTAACACTTCTTATTATATTGTACAGATTAGGACTGTTTGTGTTATGTTTTTTCCTAAATTCATTGCACCTCCTCTCACCTAAGGTGACACTTAGAGATTCCTTTAAATTCTTCTCATTTTCCTGGTTAGAGGGGGAATATGTGCAGAGTGGGGGTCATCTCCTTCACCAAAAGAATGTAAAGGAGCAGAGATCATGTCATCCCTACCTCTGGCACTATGCTTGCCTCAAGCTGGAATAACCTAACAGTGACTTGTCCTTCTCAGACTGTTCTTCTCAGGTTTTAGATTCACATCATTTTCACAGCCTGGAGCTTAATTTCCACACCAACAAAACAGGAGAGGATTTTCAAGGAAATTTCAGAAAGGAAGTGACAATGGATGCCAGTTCAGCAGCCAGGATTTTGGCTGTATTACGTTAGAATGGAGCAGCTATTGGTATTTCAGCCTCCTTCAGGAAATTTCTAAAACTAGATGTGTGTGTGAAAGAAACACAACTACAATGTCTGGATACCACATATGAACAGAACATCTTCCACCCCCTGAGCCCTCCTGCACTCACAGAGTTTATCTTTGAGCTGCTGCTGGTGCCAAGAGGCGACACTGAGAGTGAAAGGGGAGGACACTGAACCTGCCAAAACCGCAGCAGTTTGTGCATCAGGAGAGCAAAGTGCAGTCCCAAAAGCTGTTCTCATCCTTCAGGCACAGAGGTGCTACCAGGAGGGGTCACCCAACCCTGTGGGAAACACAAGCAGCAGGGAGGATATTTGGGGTGCCCACGCTGGATTCCCAGCCACCAAACTGGGGATTTTCCAACAAATTGGGACATTTCATTACCAGAATGTTCAGGCTCAGCCGTGGCTTCTGTTGAGGAAAAACTCCCAAGGTATCAAATGCCCCCAAAGCATGGCACAAGTCCAGCATCTGATAGAGTAGAAAATGTATCCCTGTGAATCGCCAGTGAGATCTCCTGCAGTAATTTCACACCCTCACACCTGCCTGCCAGTGAAAAGCCAAGCAGCCCTAAATATCTGCTGGTTTAAGAGCAAAAGTAATGCCAGACAAAGGCTGTGTCAGTAAAACACTTTGTGATACTGCCATGATGTCTTACAGCAACCAGCATGAGGAAACTGATTTTTGCATTTAATGTTTCAACATCACATGCACTACAGGAGAAGATAACAAAGACCTGCCCTTTGCTTTGTTTGGAAAAAATACAGGTTGACCAGAAGATTATTAGGTGTATTGGGATATTCTGGAATCATCATTTTTCTGTTGCAATTCAGTATTAAAGCAAAAAGAGTCAAGTGCAAAGGGCACATTTTGTTTGCACTGATATGAAATGACCTTGCTGTGGCCCAGCTCCAGCCACACAAAAGTAGAGGCACTTCCACCTGGGCTTCAGCAATTCTTCAGGTGAGACACAGAGTTCCCATGCTGCTGGTACTGCTGACCCTGCCCAGAAATAAGATTGACTAAAATTACCAATTGATTTCTCTATCAATGGTAACAAATATCAAAACAAATCTGGTGCTTCCCTGGCAGAGGCAATTCTCAAGCTGTAATTTGTTAAACATGACATAAAGTTGATGATCTTGCAACCAAAAGCAGGAACAGCATAAAAGGCCATTTTCTCCCACGTCCAGAACTCAATGGATGGAGGTGTCCACAGCACCTTAATTAAAAAAAAAATAAAAAAAAATTAAAAATTAAGTTTAAAACCGTGACCAGTCAATATGGTGACAACATGATATTAAAATGATATATTTTCAGAAAGGGTCACAAGTTAGTTTTGCCAGATGCATAATCTGACTTGGTTTGTCATAATCTGCTAATTATATGTATATAAAAGGGGGCAGGATAACTTTTTTGATCCCTGCACTCCTTAGCAGTCACATAGTTCTTTTATATACACAGTGTAAATTGTGCAAAAGAGATTTTCGCAATATCCAAACCTTTTTGCAACACACCTGGACAATCCTCTTCAGTGATGCAGCAAGACTGCTGTAAAAAAATCCCAACATTTATATACCACCCATCCCACAGATTATTGTGAGAAATCAGTTGGCAAAAGTAAAAGCTTTAGTAATGATGACATTGCTTTGAGAACAACTTAGATATTTTGTTTTATTTATTTATTAAAAAGGAAGTACATGAAGGAAAATGCTCAAGTGGACCCAGCGTTGGATTAAAAACTCTGAAAACACAGAAAGCCAAAAGATGGTGAATTAGCAAAAGTTGAGTCATAGCACTGTTATTTTACAGTTGAGAACAGAAAAAAACACTTCAAGTTGTCTTGTTATCAAGTTTTTGATAATAATCACAATCTCAAACATGGTCCTCTCCTTTTGATTTTTCAACTAATTTTTTTACTTTGTTTTCCAAGAAAAATCCTGATGGATTGAAATAGGCACCAATTTCCAAAATTAATGCAAGTACCAAAGATGCTGAAAGTGGCAGAGCATTAAATCCTTGGACATGGGACGTAGGGCATTTCAGAAACAAGAGTAAAATCAAATTTTAAAAAAAAGAAAGCAGTGAAAACAAAGCAGCAGCTAAAGGTCAGTACTGGAAAACCAGCTGAGAATTGGCAAATTTGTCTCAACATTCCTATAAATTTAAAAGTCAGTCCTTGCTTTCTACAGCAGCTTCCCAATGGGAAGCAGAATAATTTATTTAAATACTAGTCATCAATGGTTGCAGCAGAAGTTCCCAGAAAAATACTACACAAAAATACCTAAAATATTTATCCATAACATAAAATTGATGTTACAAATAAAATTAACAGCAAGACAAACCACCCTAGGTGTGGTCCCAGTGGTCATTTCATAAATCCCAGATTTAACTTGCTGCTGTTTGGG